TCAAACTACATAAAAAGAAATAACAGTACATAATAAATGATTAAAAGAATTTATGCCTATAGTACAACTCTGGGACCAGAGGGGCAGTATTAATGGTATCACTCACAATAGTTGGTGTTGTATTGTCAGTATTATTATTGTTTACAGTTTGTGGTCCAGATTCCTGAAATGGTTTTAATCTGTTTGAATTGACAAGTGACTTCATGAATTTGCCATTTTCAACCAACTTAAGTTTAAATGTATAATTTGGGCCTTTTTCTACAATTTCATAGGGACCAACAAATTTCTTAGAGTTTCTTTGTTGTATGTTTTCTTTTCGAACTAATACCTTCTGACCAATCTCGTATTGTGGTTCTTTACTGTCACAATCATAGTATTGCTTTTGCTTTATTTGTTGCCCTAACCGGTTTGATTGAACAATGAGCTCTGTTAATTTCAACTGTTGATTAAGATTATCTACATGTTGTTTAACATTTTGTGGCAAATTTTCTTTAGGAATTAAAGAGGTATCTATTGGGAGCCTCATTTGTCTACCAAATAGCACTTGGTAAGGGGTAAACCCAGTAGAAACCGAAACTGAATTCCGAAAAAGCCATCATAACTGAAGGGATGCAATCAGACCAGTTATCTTGATTTTCATTGCTTAATGTTCTTAAAGCTTGACCTAAGGAATGGTTTACTCGTTCAACTTCACTATTGGTTTGAGGGTGGAATGAAGAAGTATGGTGTCTAGTGACCTGAAACTTTTCACATACAGCAGTTACTAATTTAGATAGAAAATTACTCCCTCTGTCAGTGACAATAACATCTGGGGCACCATATCTACAGAAAATTTGTTCATACATAATTTTAGCAACTTCAGTCGCTTCTTGTGTCTGCATTGGGAAAGCTTCACACCAATTTGAAAAAGAGTCATCAACAACTAAAATGTAACGGAATTTCTCCTTTGTTATTGGAAGTGGTCCTACAATATCCACCTCAAAAAAGCCTTATGGCACAACTCCTACTAAACTAATTTATATAACCACTGTGATATCTGCAATCACAGATGTAGCTGTGATGATCTGCCTGTCTCTCTACCAAAACCTTACCACTAAATAGTGATGAAACAGTATAAGCTGAATACCACCTCTTCAAGGTTTGGCAAGTGCGTAGCCTCTATCTCAAAAATATACTCGAAGGCCCTACTTTAGAACCTCTATCTCGGGAGGAAAAGCATTGTGGCACAACTCTCCTACAAAACTTATTTATATAACTACTGGATATCTGCAATCACAGGTGCAGCTGTGATGACCTCCCTGTCTAACTCTACTGAAACCTCCTTACCACTAGATTGTGGCTAACCACTAGATAGTGGTCGTCAAATCTCCTCTTTTATCATAGAAAAATAAGACACAACTTACTGGCAGCTGTATATTTAAACCTCTGCAAACAAAGTTTGCGGTGGGGGCATAATACTATAGGTTTTATGATGCCTTGGACTGTTTTATATTGTATCACTTGCAGATTGGCTTTTGTCCTTTTGAGACAAAACTCTGGACTAACAGTAAACACTTAATTTAAATCCAGGTTATTTCTTCAATGTCCAATATCGAATGACACTTTAATAATATCTTACAGCTTTATCAAATAAAACATTTTCAAATACAATGTGCCGAAACGGCGGCAAAATGTTAATGTTTCTGCAAAATCATAGATTACTTTTCTATTGTCTCTTGAATTGCAACTCCAAGTTGATCTGTATTATTTGTATACATTATGTTAATTGTATTGATATACTGCTAACAGCTATTTAAAGAACTTTATGATTTTAAACTATCCAGTAAAAACATGCTGATCTCTTGTCCGACTTTTGGAACAACGTGACCCAGTGGTGATGGCCGTTGTAATAAATTTGTGTTGCTGCTGATTCTGTTGCATTTTCTGCAGAATAAACTGCTGTTCTAAGGATGTCTGAGAATTTTTTTTTGACATCTCTCCACATGGATCAGATTGTCCATTTTCTGGAGCTGGGTTTTCCTTTTGCATTCTTGTATTTCCGATGCTGCTACCAATAATCTTGATTCTTTAATAAATGAGCCGTGTCATGACATAACCAACATATTGCGTTTGCGACCAGCATGGATCCTGATCAGACTGCGTGGATGCACAGGCTGGTCTGGATCCATGCTGGTTGCAAACGCACTGTTGGTTTTGTCATGACGTGGCTCAAATGGTTATTGAAGGTCTCCTGCAGCTTACCTTACATTATTTCCTTAAACATGTAGTATGACCAAAACAGGTTTCTTCTTGCTAATTCTGTTGAATTATGAAAATAGCTTTAACACAATTGTGTTCATCCATCAAACAAGTATTGTACCTCATCAGTGTTTCCTTCCTCCTTTTTGAACGTTTTTGTCAATTTGATCTCTTTGCAGGTAACCAGGAATCTCAATATTGACATTTTGTAATAAATGAGTTACTATAGTATTACTTTATAATATAAATGATTAAATTTTGATAGACAATAATTTAATAAATTTGAAATATGTTTAGTATTGACATACATGTATATATAGTATGGAAATCTAACACTTGTTCATTAAAATACGTCTTCGTTTTTTTTAAAAGCAAGTAAAATACACTGTCTAAGGATTATGAGCGGATTATTATTTTATGTAAAATCCAAGTCATGTAAAATTTGTTCTCGAGATACTTGTGCCTGTAATAACATGTAGACGATATTTGGTCTCTGGTAGATTTATTTTTTTATGCCCCCCCTGAAGTTTCTACAACTAAGGTCCTGTATGTTGTAAATGAGTTTGTTACCATACTTAATTGAAATTATATATATGTATATAAATATGCTTATAAAACAATTTTCAAACTTCGAAGGATATGTAAAATATGTACTGCAAATATTTGTGTACATTATAATAGAAGTGAGGCCAGTTAACCTATAGGAAACATCATTTTATCTAACCAGTAACTTTTTGACTATGAAGTTGAAATTAGGAATCATTTATTCTCTGTAATATAAGTTATATCTAGTATATGAAAAAAACATTCCTGGATATTGGACCTTATACATATTGTTAGATCTGATACCCCATTTTTCTTCTTCTTGTCTCGAAGATATCAAAAATCGGAAAATTTGAAAAATGCTATTTTTATTTTTTAACACTAACCATTATTCTTTTGTTTTGTTTTCAAAAATAACGTATAGTACAAACTTTCCATGTAATATTTATGGGATATATATAGAACATATTTTTATGCCCCCACAATGTGGGAGCATATAGCATTGCACTTGTCCGTCCGTCAGTCAGTCAGTCAGTCCGTCCGTCCGTCCGTCTGTACGTCCCGAAATCTTGTGAACGCAACTCCTCTTAAACCGGATGGCAGATTTTGCATAAACTTACAGGGATGAACAACCTTAAGGTGTAGATGGTAGTAAAGGAAGGAATTTTCGCTGCGACCAAATTTTACAGAATTATGGCCCTTTGTTGATTTTTTCACTATATACTATGTAGAAATTTTGTGAATGCAACTCCTCTTAAACCGGATGGCAGATTTTGCTTAATCTTACAGGGATGAACAACCTTAATGTGTAGATGGCAGTAAAGGAAGGAATTTTTGCTGCGACCAAATTTTACAGAATTATGGCCCTTTGTTGATTTTTTCACTATATACTATGTATAAATTTTGTGAATGCAACTCCTCTTAAACCGGATGGCAGATTTTGCTTAAACTTACAGGGATGAACAACCTTAATGTGTAAATGGCAGTAAAGGAAGGAATTTTTGCTGCAACCAAATTTAACAGAATTATGGCCCTTTGTTGATTTTTTCATTATATACTATGTAGAAATTTTGTGAATGCAATACTTCATAAACCGGATGGCAGATTTTGCTTAAACTTACAGGGATGAACAACCTTAAAGTGTAAATGGCAGTAAAGGAAGGAATTTTCGCTGTGACCAAATTTAACAGAATTATGGCCCTTTGTTGATTTTTTCATTATATAATTATAAATGTAGAAAATTTTGTGAACGCAACTCCTCTTAAACCCGGATGGCAGATTTTGCTTAAACTTCCAGGGATTAACAACGTTAATGTGTAGATAGTAGTAAAGGAAGGAATTTTTGCTGCGACCAAATTTAACAGAATAATGGCCCTTTGTTGATTTTTAGTTTTCAACTTGCGGCACATGTACTCCAAAAAATATTTGACCTAGAGTCATAAGATTGACAGAACAGTGGCGTGTGGGGGCATCTGTGTCCTATGGACACATTTCTAGTTTAATTTAAATTTTCATGATAAATCTGAACTTTTCCCAAGGTTAGACATTGACATCGCTGTATTTGCTAATGAATATAGACATTTTAATGACGGAATTATTTATAGTCATAATTTATATATCAATACGGACTGAAACAACGTTTTTTAAACAACGTTTGTTTTTTTATCTAATATTAGAATACAAGTCGAAAAACTACCAAAAATACCATTTAGTCTGTTTTCATGCCGAACACTGAGAATATATAAGTGGCTCTCTGATTGGTTGAGAGCATTTGTCTCCCATGTCGTATTTGGTACATTTACTATCCGATTTTGACTTAAAGCTCAATATTGTAAATGCTAACGAAAAAGAATTTTTTTTTTTTTCTCTTCAAGTTGAAATGAGTGATTGAACTTGATTATGGGTAAAACCATAGGGATATTATCAGTGGAAATTATTTTGGATCAAACGGGTATGCATCATCTGCATTGATTTGCTCTTCGTAAAACAAAGATTCTAAAATTAATTAATGTAATATTGACTATTTCAGTAAGGGCTAACGATGTCTTATAATTATATCGGAATTAAATGAAATAAACTGCACCCGCGGCAAAGCATTTGAATCTAATAGAATCTGTTGTAAATTTCGTACAATTTTATTAAGATGACAATATGAAACATATCTCTTTCGGGAAAATATGGGGGCCCTGATAAGGACCATTACGTGATGGAGTGCCCTGTTATATGTGATGGTGACACATAAAAGGCAGGGACACTCCATCTGATCGCCGTATAGCAAATGCGAAGAAACATGGGCACAACAGTCCATTGTTCCCACGGGATAAAAGATATCCGTTGGGGGATAGATGGATGGCTATCCCCGCTTCTACCACCTTCTCAACATCGAAATAGATGAGGGTCGTAGCGTTGTGGCATAAACCATATGACTCGTGACTATCAACGGCATGTATGTAGTCGCGAGTCATTACCCTCACACCGTCGAAATTGATAAACTCCCAACCTCTGTCATCCGTCCCATGGATCATCCTTCGCGGTATGACAGTGGGATAACACATATTCAACCCGAAGCTATGACCTTGGACGGCCCTCACCGCGAAACCATGATAAGTATATCTCAATTCAAATCGCCCCTTTTGGTCTTCCTGGGCGATCTTCTGTAACTGGGCTATGGTTAAACTGCGAAACTCTGGTAACCCAATAATGTTAACTAAGAGAATGAACCCCTGGACATCCATCTGGCAGCCTCTGCTTAGTGCGGTATGTCTTAATAAACATACTAACTGTTTTGGAGTATTCATTTTTGTGTCGCCTCTACAGTGTAGTGGCGACATATAGGGATCACCTTTCCGTCTGTCCGTCTGTCTGTCTGTCCGTCCTTCCGTCACAAAACTTGTCCGGACTACTCCTCATTAACTACTGGTGCAATTTCATCCAAACTTTACAGGAATGATCAGTATTAAGTCTTGTAGTGCATATTGTCAGGATTTTCCGGTTCAATGATTTTTGTCAGAGTTATGGCCCTTTAATAATTTTTAATTTTAAAGTTTGTCCGGACTACTTCTCTTATACCACTAATGCAATTTCAATGAAACTTTACAGGATTGATCTGTAGCTCAAGTCCTTGCGCATATTGCACGGGTTTTCCGGTTGAATGATTTTTGGCCGAGTTATGGCCCTTTGATAAAAAGGTTTCTTTTTCTGTGTGTTGCCAGATACACAAAAGCTTGTCCGGACTACTCCTCATAAACTACTGGTGCAATTTCATCCAAACTTTTCAGGAATGATCAGTACCAAGTCCAGTTGTGCATATTGTCAGCAATTTCCGGGTTCAATGATTCTTGTTTGAGTTATGGCCCTTTAATAATTTTTATTTTTAAAGTTTGTCCGGACTACTTCTCTTATACCACTTATGCAATTTCAATGAAACTTTACAAGATTGATCTGTAGCTCAAGTCCTTGCGCATATTGCACGGGGTTTTCCGGTTGAATGATTTTTGGCCGAGTTATGGCCCTTTGATAAAAAGGTGTTTTTTTCTGTGTGTTGCCAGATACGCAAAAGCTTGTCCGGACTTCTCCTCATAAACTACTGGTGCAATTTTATCCAAATTTTACAGGAATGATCAGTACAAAGTGGTTAGTCTAGTTGTGCACTGTCCGTCTGTCTGTCCGTCTGTCACAAAATTTGTCCCAACATGAAATTGGCCATCATGAGGCGACACCTGTGATTACTGATCGCTCTTGTGAATGCTAAGATTCAAAATTCAGAACAAATATATAACTACACAGTGTTTGTCCCCTTTGTTCTCATTGGTCGATACAAAATAAGTAGGTCAATCTGACTTTTTGCAAAATTATGCAAATTTACAAATCCCTTTTTATGGGTAATATAGAGGTCATATTTTTAAATAAAAATTATATTAGTCACCTAAAGACCATGCATCTAGTATATAAGATTTGTAACAGGGGTTATTCTCGTCTGATTTGTTTTGACGTGGGAGGGGAACCTTTTCCTTTTTTTGTGACACTGTGTTTTGAACCATATTCTATTGTAAAACTCAAGATCCTGTTTTTCTCTTGTTTATTTCCTTCCAGTAATTTTCTTAGTAAAAACGCTGTAACGAAAGTTGGTTCCACAAAATAATTTTATTTCAAGCAAAGCATATATAAAAATGAACCCTAGGTTTACCCTTATATATGCTTTGGTTGTCAAGCTTATTTTCCATGATGACCATAGCAACTTAATCCAGACAGCAATGAACCAACATGTTACAGGACAACAAATTTAATTACCATAAGGTGTTAACAACCTTTTATTAATTTATAAATACATTGAAAAGAAACATAAAAGGGATATCACTAATTCTTACACTGAAGGGGTATTTGTTGAACAATATGCTTGTAAATAAACTTTTATAAACATAATAAACTTTTATAAACATTATATACATCAAACTACATAAAAAGAAATAACAGTACATAATAAATGATTAAAAGAATTTATGCCTATACAACAACTCTGGGACCAGAGGGGCAGTATTAATGGTATCACTCACAATAGTTGGTGTTGTATTGTCAGTATTATTATTGTTTACAGTTTGTGGTCCAGATTCCTGAAATGGTTTTAATCTGTTTGAATTGACAAGTGACTTCATGAATTTGCCATTTTCAACCAACTTAAGTTTAAATGTATAATTTGGGCCTTTTTCTACAATTTCATAGGGACCAACAAATTTCTTAGAGTTTCTTTGTTGTATGTTTTCTTTTCGAACTAATACCTTCTGACCAATCTCGTATTGTGGTTCTTTACTGTCACGATCATAGTATTGCTTTTGCTTTATTTGTTGCCCTAACCGGTTTGATTGAACAATGAGCTCTGTTAATTTCAACTGTTGATTAAGATTATCTACATGTTGTTTAACATTTTGTGGCAAATTTTCTTTAGGAATTAAAGAGGTATCTATTGGGAGCCTCATTTGTCTACCAAATAGCACTTGGTAAGGGGTAAACCCAGTAGAAACCGAAACTGAATTCCGAAAAGCCATCATAACTGAAGGGATGCAATCAGACCAGTTATCTTGATTTTCATTGCTTAATGTTCTTAAAGCTTGACCTAAGGAATGGTTTACTCATTCAACTTCACTATTGGTTGTGAGGGTGGAATGAAGAAGTATGGTGTCTAGTGACCTGAAACTTTTCACATACAGCAGTTACTAATTTAGATAGAAAATTACTCCCTCTGTCAGTGACAATAACATCTGGGGCACCATATCGACAGAAAATTTGTTCATACATAATTTTAGCAACTTCAGTCGCTTCTTGTGTCTGCATTGGGAAAGCTTCACACCAATTTGAAAAAGAGTCAACAACAACTAAAATGTAACGGAATTTCTCCTTTGTTATTGGAAGTGGTCCTACAATATCCACCTCAAAAAAGCCTGATGGCACAACTCCTACTAAACTAATTTATATAACCACTGTGATATCTGCAATCACAGATGTAGCTGTGATGATCTGCCTGTCTCTCTACCAAAACCTTACCACTAAATAGTGATGAAACAGTATAAGCTGAATACCACCTCTTCAAGGTTTGGCAAGTGCGTAGCCTCTATCTCAAAAATATACTCGAAGGCCCTACTTTAGAACCTCTATCTCGGGAGGAAAAGCATTGTGGCACAACTCTCCTACAAAACTTATTTATATAACTACTGGGATATCTGCAATCACAGGTGCAGCTGTGATGACCTCCCTGTCTAACTCTACTGAAACCTCCTTACCACTAGATTGTGGCTAACCACTAGATAGTGGTCGTCAAATCTCCTCTTTTATCATAGAAAAATAAGACACAACTTACTGGCAGCTGTATATTTAAACCTCTGCAAACAAAGTTTGCGGTGGGGGCATAATACTATAGGTTTTATGATGCCTTGGACTGTTTTATATTGTATCACTTGCAGATTGGCTTTTGTCCTTTTGAGACAAAACTCTGGACTAACAGTAAACACTTAATTTAAATCCAGGTTATTTCTTCAATGTCCAATATCGAATGATACTTTAATAATATCTTACAGCTTTATCAAATAAAACATTTTCAAATACAATGTGCCGAAACGGCGGCAAAATGATAATGTTTCTGCAAAATCATAAATTACTTTTCTATTGTCTCTTGAATTGCAACTCCAAGTTGATCTGTATTATTTGTATACATTATGTTAATTGTATTGATATACTGCTAACAGCTATTTAAAGAACTTTATGATTTTAAACTATCCAGCAAAAACATGCTGATCTCTTGTCCGACTTTTGGAACAACGTGACCCAGTGGTGATGGCCGTTGTAATAAATTTGTGTTGCTGCTGATTCTGTTGCATTTTCTGCAGAATAAACTGCTGTTCTAAGGATGTCTGAGAATTTTTTTTTGACATCTCTCCACATGGATCAGATTGTCCATTTTCTGGAGCTGGGTTTTCCTTTTGCATTCTTGTATTTCCGATGCTGCTACCAATAATCTTGATTCTTTAATAACCCTTGCAGAAAGATATACTGGTATTTAAAAAGTCCCAGTATTTCCCAGTTATTATCCTAGAAAATTCCAGAATGTTAAAACCAGTCTTGGCTATTCTAGTAATGCCTAGGAAATACCAGTTACTGAGAACTAGGCATTTCTAATAATTTTTAAACAACTCATCAATTTCAAAGTTATACTAGGAATTGTAATTTATTTTCTGAGATTTCTAAGACTTAAGATTTTGCAAAATTCCTAGTCTTTAGGAATTACTTAGAATTTATCTTGTAGAACAAAATCCTTAACATCTGTGCTAAATTCCTTGAATCTTACATAAATTCCTAAAGACTAGGAATTCTCTTTGTTGTGGTAAGTAAACAAGTAAATAAAGAAGGAAGACAATAAAATTGAAAATAAAAATGTTTTCTTTCTTTTTTTAAATAAAACAACATACTGATCTAGATCTATTTAATAATATTTTTCTAGGATTACTTTTATTATTATTATTTAATTGAAATTTAATAATCAATTGACCTTAATGGTCAACCTGCATTATGACAATTTTATCATTGGCCATTTAATTAATAGATATTAAATAGGAATATATAACCCAAAAAGAAATAACAAATGTTCAGGCACTCCAAGTAAATCAAAGACGTATTATAAACCTTAAGAAAATAATCAATAATTGACATCTGAAGATCAGTTGTGTAGAGCTATTTTTAGCGCTGTCAAATTGCATCCACTGATGTCATGCTTCAGTGCACAGGCTGTGTGTATAAACCACTTTATGCACGGCTTATACTGCCTGTTGACATTTTTATTGATTGTGATTTGAACATATGTAGATCTAATTAGGGGTGGATTTAAGGTGATTATTATTGCATAGTTGAAAATCCCATGTGGCAAATAGACTCTTGTGCAGATTTTTTTCACGTGTCAAATTTGTGCATTTCCAAATTTTCACGAGTCAAAAACCCGAATCTCTGCCTGAATTAAAGTAGGCCTATATGTGGCAGGTCATATTTATGCTGACGGAAATTAACGATGATAACTTAGTCTTTACTTAACCAGCGAACCTTTACGATTATACTCGAGCAATTTCCGTATATTTACGCTAACCGAGACGAGCATAATTTCATGACGTATTTAATACGTATACTGATGACGTAGCAACACAATTGTTTTGGAAACTACTGTAGCTGTGTATGAAATTCAAGCGCTTGTTGGGCTAAAATAATAGATTTGTGAAATAAAATTCAACGATATAATTGAAATTATTCAGTCATTGTATTG